TAGAACTAGAACTGAACTAGAACTGAACTAGAACTGAACTAGAACTGAACTAGAACTAGAACTGAACTAGAACTGAACTAGAACTGAACTAGAACTGAACTAGAACTGAACTAGAACTGAACTAGAACTGAACTAGAACTGAACTAGAACTGAACTAGAACTGAACTAGAACTGAACTAGAACTGAACTAGAACTGAACTAGAACTGAACTAGAACTGAACTAGAACTGAACTAGAACTGAACTAGAACTGAACTAGAACTGAACTAGAACTGAACTAGAACTGAACTAGAACTGAACTAGAACTGAACTAGAACTGAACTAGAACTGAACTAGAACTAGAACTAACTAGAACTAAACTAGAACTAAACTAGAACTAACTAGAACTGAACTGGAACTGAACCAGAACTGAACTAGAACTGAAGTAAAACTGAAATAGAACTGATTAAGAATTGAACTAGAACTGAACTAGAACTGAACTAGAACTGACTAGAATGAACTAGAACTGAACTAGAACTGAACTAGAACTGAACTAGAACTGAACTAGAACTGAACTAGAACTGAACTAGAACTGAACTAGAACTGAACTAGAACTGAACTAGAACTGAACTAGAACTGAACTAGAACTGAACTAGAACTGAACTAGAACTGAACTAGAACTGAACTAGAACTGAACTAGAACTGAACTAGAACTGAACTAGAACTGAACTAGAACTGAACTAGAACTGAACTAGAACTGAACTAGAACTGAACTAGAACTGAACTAGAACTGAACTAGAACTGAACTAGAACTGAACTAGAACTGAACTAGAACTGAACTAGAACTGAACTAGAACTGAACTAGAACTGAACTAGAACTGAACTAGAACTGAACTAGAACTGAACTAGAAACTAGAACTAGAACTGAACTAGAACTGAACTAGAACTGAACTAGAACTGTACTAGCACTGAACTAGAACTGAGCCTAGAACTGAACTAGAGCTCGAACCGAACTGGAACTTAACAAATTTATTTCTTCCTCATTCCATTTTACAGCAAAAAAATCCCTGAACTTTAAACAGTTAATTTTAAACTTCTATTATCGCATAATTTCAGTAAACCACAACAAATAACTTTCGTTGGCAAACAAGTAAAATTTTCTTTATCTTTTGCAAATTGAATTAGTTCACCTTTTATAAATATAAACAAAAATATTGTGTAAATTTATTTTTCAAATAAATTTTATCAATAAATTTATTATTAATACCCCTTCTTATCATTGCATTTTTCGCAGTAAATAAAATTTTGTATGTGATATTCGCAGCGCATTCTATCAATTAATAACAAATTGGTTTTATTTTTGTTGTTGTATTAAAAGTGTGAAAGAAAAACTAAAAATAACGATCACATTTTTGAATGAAGTGATATTGCACTGAGAGAAAAAAAGCAAAGACAAAAGAAATAGTTAATGAGAAAAAAAGCAAAGACAAAAGAAATAGTTAATGATTTAAAAAATCAAACCTTTACTGTGTATAAAAATGCCTTAAATATGTATCTAGTTAATTTAATTTTAAAATTATTTCTATTGGAACATCTTAAATTTTTTCTCTAATTGTTTATTTTAAAAGATTATATTCATTTGTTTTCAGCTCATAATACTTTATGCATTCAGATGTTTACCAAAGACAAACCAAAAATATATAAAATTTCATTGTATGAAAAAAATATATTAAAATAATGTTCATATTTGTCGTCGTTGGAATATTCGTACATTTTCATAAATTTTACAAAAAAGGTGCATATTTTTGTTTTCATTTTAGAGGCGTCTGAATTACGTCATGTTTAATGCAAAAAAAGGAATTACGAAAATAATAAAACCAACGTCGCATAAGCAATTGACATTGCAAAAATCAAGCAGTCAACAGATATAAATAGTTTTATTATTTGGACTTATTTGTAACTTTAAATAAAAAATATGTTATAATTGTTGGTGGAGAATAACATATTAATCTGATCGCTATGTGAACTAGAACTGAACTAGAACTGAAGTAGAACTGAAGTAGAACTGAACTAGAACTGAACTAGAACTGAACTAGAACTGAACTAGAACTGAACTAGAACTGAACTAAAACTGAACTAGAACTGAACTAGAACTGAACTAGAACTGAACTAGAACTGAAAGAGAACTGAACTAGAACTGAACTAGAACTGAACTAGAACTGAACTAGAACTGAACTAGAACTGAACTAGAACTGAACTAGAACTGAACTAGAACTGAACTAGAACTGAACTAGAACTGAACTAGAACTGAACTAGAACTGAACTAGAACTGAACTAGAACTGAACTAGAACTGAACTAGAACTGAACTAGAACTGAAACTAGAACTGAACTAGAACTGAACTAGAACTGAACTAGAACTGAACTAGAACTGAACTAGAACTGAACTAGAACTGAACTAGAACTGAACTAGAACTGAACTAGAACTGAACTAGAACTGAACTAGAACTGAACTAGAACTGAACTAGAACTGAACTAGAACTGAACTAGAACTGAACTAGAACTGAACTAGAACTGAACTAGAAACTGAAACTAGAACTGAACTAGAACTGAACTAGAACTGAACTAGAACTGAACTAGAACTGAACTAGAACTGAACTAGAACTGAACTAGAAACTGAACTAGAACTGAACTAGAACTGAACTAGAACTGAACTAGAACTGAACTAGAACTGAACTAGAACTGAACTAGAACTGAACTAGAACTGAACTAGAACTGAACTAGAACTGAACTAGAAACTGAACTAGAACTGAACTAGAACTGAACTAGAACTGAACTAGAACTGAACTAGAACTGAACTAGAACTGAACTAGAACTGAACTGAACTAGAACTGAACTAGAACTGAACTAGAACTGAACTAGAACTGAACTAGAACTGAACTAGAACTGAACTAGAGAACTGAACTAGAACTGAACTAGAACTGAACTAGAACTGAACTAGAACTGAACTAGAACTGAACTAGAACCGAACTAGAACCGAACAAGAACTGAACTAGAACCGAACTAGAACTGAACTAGAACTGAACTAGAACTGAAGTAGAACTGAAGTAGAACTGAACTAGAACTGAACTAGAACTGAACTAGAACTGAACTAGAACTGAACTAGAACTGAACTAAAACTGAACTAGAACTGAACTAGAACTGAACTAGAACTGAACTAGAACTGAAAGAGAACTGAACTAGAACTGAACTAGAACTGAACTAGAACTGAACTAGAACTGAACTAGAACTGAACTAAAACTGAACTAGAACTGAACTAGAACTGAACTAGAACTGAACTAGAACTGAAAGAGAACTGAACTAGAACTGAACTAGAACTGAACTAGAACTGAACTAGAACTGAACTAGAACTGAACTAGAACTGAACTAGAACTGAACTAGAACTGAACTAGAACTGAACTAGAACTGAACTAGAACTGAACTAGAACTGAACTAGAACTGAACTAGAACTGAACTAGAACTGAACTAGAACTGAACTAGAACTGAACTAGAACTGAACTAGAACTGAACTAGAACTGAACTAGAACTGAACTAGAACTGAACTAGAACTGAACTAGAACTGAACTAGAACTGAACTAGAACTGAACTAGAACTGAACTAGAACTGAACTAGAACTGAACTAGAACTGAACTAGAACTGAACTAGAACTGAACTAGAACTGAACTAGAACTGAACTAGAACTGAACTAGAACTGAACTAGAACTGAACTAGAACTGAACTAGAACTGAACTAGAACTGAACTAGAACTGAACTAGAACTGAACTAGAACTGAACTAGAACCGAACTAGAACCGAACAAGAACTGAACTAGAACCGAACTAGAACTGAACTAGAACTGAACTAGAACTGAACTAGAACTGAACTAGAACTGAACTAGAACTGAACTAGAGCTGAACTAGAACTGAACTAGAACTGAACTAGAACTGAACTAGAACTGAACTAGAACTGTACTAGAACTGAACTAGAACTGAACTAGAACTAGAACTGAACTAGAACTGAACTAGAACTGAACTAGAACTGAACTAGAACTGAACTAGAACTGAACTAGAACTGAACTAGAACTGAACTAGAACTGAACTAGAACTGAACTAGAACTGAACTAGAACTGAACTAGAACTGAACTAGAACTGAACTAGAACTGAACTAGAACTGAACTAGAGCTGAACTAGAGCTGAACTAGAACTGACCTAGAACTGAACTAGAACTGAACTAGAACTAGAACTGAACTAGAACTGAACTAGAACTGAACTAGAACTGAACTAGAACTGAACTAGAACTGAACTAGAACTGAACTAGAACTGAACTAGAACTGAACTAGAACTGAACTAGAACTGAACTAGAACTGAACTAGTACTGAACTAGTACTGAACTAGAACTGAACTAGAACTTAACTAAAACTGAACTAGAACTGATCCCAAACTGAATAAAACATTTAAACCTCCGACACAGTTGGAGACTCCCATGATATTTCCATTACATGGCAGTTCATGGATTACCAAATTATTGAATTATTTTAAAATATCTCCCATTAAGTGTAGAGTATTTGAAAAAAAAAGTAATAATTTAAAACAAATAAAAATAAATCGACCCACAACACAGCAAAAAAAAATAAATAAAACAGACACAGTGACAACTTTATTATTAAATTGCTGTTGAAGCGACAAGTGATGAATATAAAATTAAATTTAATTTAAAGAAAAAAATCAAAATAAATTAACATTTTTATTAACAGACGAACGACTATTTAAATGAAATCTGTCAGTAATTAACTATTGTCTTAAGTGATAGACAATTTATTTGTGAGTAGTTAATGGTTGATTGAGCGAAATAAAAATATTAAACAATTAGCAATTATTTAATTGCATTTTGTAAGTCCACACAAAATATAAACTTTATGTATATATTGCAATTTATGAATCATTAGATTAAGAAAACTTATAATAAAAATTTGTAAATGAAATTTCGAACTTACCGTTTCCGAAAATTCATCACGTGAACGCCTCGATAGAGTGGTATGATTATTAAGATGATTCATATTGTCCTTGGTAGGTGACATATTGTTCATTCAAAATTATTTTAACAAAAAAACACTAATTACGCTATGATAATGTTAAACAAATAAATGCTTTTTTTTTTTGGATTTCAATTTAGGAATGGAAAAAATAAAATGTTGGCAGCAGACTTTGTTTTCCTTAGGAGTAAATTGATTTTTTTTACGAAAGACCTGTAAATAGAAAAAGAGTATAAAAAAAGTTTAATTATTTTATCAGCACTTGACATAAATTAAATTTTTTAAAAAGCTAAATATATGCATAAACATAAGTAAAATAATTAGCAGCATACGTTTTTTATTGTTTTATAAAAATATGTAAAACAATAATAAAAAACTGTCGGTTAAAAGATGCAAATGTACACTCAGAAAAATGTAAGTTATTGATAAATGAATTTGAAACACGCGAGCTTCACCATCTGAAAATATGCCCACAAAAAATTATACTTTAGAAAGTGTTATTCCTCCTGTATTGAACGATATGAACGACTTTTCTTTCTAGCAGGCCCTACTACATATCATAATGCGGAGGCCAGGTATAAGCTACTATAATATTAAATCTTGGATACTGTACTCCTCTTCAGATCCGAACTACTATGTAAACAAATCCATACCTTTCACTAGAGTTCTGTTAATCTATTTTAACTTCGATCAGCCTTTAAAAGATGTTTAATTTGAAAAGCAATCAAGTTAGATTTATGTTTGGGGAAATTAAATCGTGTTCAACCTGTTTCGTTAAACCGGATAGAACACGATCAACGTGTGGATCTACTATTACCACTTACAGAATACCCAAAATATTCTGATCTTCCACGGATAATAACCGTGACTTTCTTGGCGCTTGATTAAGAGATAGAAGAATCAGTACAGCAAACAGCAATTTCTTTGATATCTACGGATACCCTTCAAGGACAAGGACTTTATTGATCTTCCTGTCATGTTTTAAGTTTATTCCGATTTTCCAAGATCAATTGGTAGCAATAGAGCCCCGATCGTTTTTCAAATTTCCACCTCCTAATATCGATCCATATTATTCAAGTTTGTCAGCGAACTTTTTAATTTTACTCAATACTGTTAATCCACATAGAGAGAGACCTTTTACAATCCAAAACTATTTTCAAGTAGTAGATCCAAAATTACTCCGCCTTCATCTCCCGGATTCCTGTTATCTTGATGAATCTTTCCCATCTTAGTGTTATTGCAATCCCAAGAAAAAGAAGTGCTACCAGTACCTCTGGCCTTTCATTGGAATGATTTGACATGGGGTCGAACCAGAGAACAACATAATCTGGTACCACGGTAACCGGTAGCCTATGGAGAAGAGTTTCGGTTATTGGAGAGGTCCATTCGAGATGAACATGGTGGCTGGGGTTTGAATCCAAATTCGCAGCAAGAAAATGTTGGTTAAAAGACTGATACACGGTATAGTTCGGGATAAGTTTGATGCTGTTGCCGAGACAGATACCCCACAAAGGATTAAATTTATCTGCTGTTTCCGACCCAACAATCCATGGTTGTATTTCAGAAATTGAACAACGGGCCAGCAATGGTCAGAGATTAGATAGCTTGAGTACTTGAGCAAAGTGTTTGTAATATACACAATGGATGGGCGTTGGTGAGTCGTTAAAAAAGCTCAACCCGTGGATGAAAAAGACCACCATGAAAATAGGCTTTCAAGACAGGTGTTCACATAAAGCACATCGACACCTTGATTCCTCCTTTTAGGATATACATACACACTTAGAATTATTAATTTCGAGGCCTTCAAGACTTAACTTTATAAAATATATATTCGTTGGGAAGTCTATATGTGGGTCAATGTGATCCATCAGTTTCAACAAGCGAGAAGGTTTGTGCCGTTCAGAAATGATACTACTTCATGATGATTGTTATTGTTAAACTCAACAGGAGTTTGAAAATAAATGGGAGCAACTTAGCAATAATTTCAAAACGTTTTCGAGCACCAGAGTCCATCCAAATGCCGAGATCATATGTAAAGGTCAACCAACTAGCCGAATTGACACCAAATATTCATGTTTCTATATTTGGTGGAAACAAAAGTCTCCTATATAATATGAACTGTTGAAATATGGGCAGACCTTCACTTGGAACCTGTACCGTATAGAAATGAATCGTTCGAAACGGGAATTTCTTTGAAAGAAAGTATACTTAAAAGATCGTATGTGAAAGTTGGTCAACCGGCCGAATGGACACCTAAGCCAAATATGTATGGCTCTGTATTTGATGAAACCTAAAGTGTCCTGTCTATTAGGAGCTTCATAGGGAACCTGTACCGTATGCAAATGATTCGTTTGAAGCGAGCATTTCCTGAAAGCGCTCCGAATAACGATTAGATAGGCAAAAGCGTAATATTCCATCATGACAACGCTCGGCAAAATCCAAAAAAATGTTATTCGAATCTTTATCTTTATTATATGTATATCATCTTTATCTTCATCATATATCAATCAGATCGTATCTAATAATGTATTCTGCAAATCCAAAGATGATATATAATTAAATTTTTTTTTCAGTGTACACACCCCAACATTATATGAATGAATGTTAATTAAAACGACACTTAAATGTGGGTGGAGAAGGTAGCGGTGGCTGTGATATCAGTGGTGACAGAAATGTTTTTATTCTATTGTACTCGTCTGGAATAGATCTCCCTCATATCTATATATATATGAAGAAAAAGTACGAGGAGGTGGCGAGAATAACTATTTGATACCATTTTATTATCTATCAAATGTTTACAATTATTACGTACTCTGCGAAATATGTCACATTTTTCTCAATTCTACAACTATTACTTAATATTGTGTTCTTGTTGTTGTTGCTATTCTATTTAGTTACATAGTGTAGCTATTGTTGTAGTTTTCTATTACAAATTCTATATTTCGACATGACACAGACACAAAAGAGTGCGTGTGTGTGTGTGTTTGAGTGTAGGTATGTTAGTGAATGATAACAAAAGTGGCAATAATAAAAAGCAACAACAATAATGCGAATGAAAAACACAGTTAATCAAAACATCAACTGTTATTTGTGATACTCTTACTAAACTATTACGAATATTACTATTTAGTGTTGTTATTGTTGTTAAAAATTATAATTGTTGTTTTTGTTTAGAACCTTAAAAAAACCACCTAAACTGAGAAACAAAAGCAGAGAGTAGAGTAAAGTTTATAAACAAAACAAAACGAGTTAAGACCGCGCTAACAGAACAAAACGAGAAAACCTTTGGGTTTTATTTTTATTATTTTTAGAAATTTAATCACCATTTGGCCCGCAGCGTAGACAGACACTATTTTAATCTTTCATACAATATAGCGAAATATAAACACTAGCACGCTGCTAGTTCACTCGTTCAAAAAATAAAACAACAAAATTAAATGAAACTATTCTTGCAGTATCAATAGCAACAGCATTTCAAGAAAAAAAAGTAACAAAAAATAATTATACCGGTATAATATAGTGATGCCACATTTTTTTAAATTATGGATCCATGATACAATAGATTTTCTGGATTGTTTGTACTTTGTCTAGAATGTAATATTTTACGAAAGCTTTATTAAGAGTTTTTATATTATAAAGGCTATTTAACCTTTAAAATTCGCCTAAATAAGTCTGACATTGGGGCCATCTGTCAGTCTGATAACTCAACCAAAAAGTAATCTTATCACCAAATGGACTTAAAGGTTCAAAATCTTTACAAAGATCATTGAGAGTTTTAAGCTAAATGATTCAGAATGATCTGCATGTTACAGCTCCCCGACGACATGTAACCTTGATGAAAGACCCCAACTTTGTGTTATTGGAAACCCGGAGAAAAGAGGTGCTACCAGTACTTCTAGTCTGCCGGGACTATAATTTGGGGATGATAAAAAGTATCCTCGGCCTTTCCTTGGAATGATTTGACATGGGGTCGAACCAGAGAACCATATACATAATCTGTTACCATGGGAACCAGTAGCCCGCAGGGCAGAGTTTCGGACTTTGTCTTTTCCCGGATATTGGGTGCACGTGGTGGCTGTGGTTTAAACCGAAATTCGCAAAAAGAGAATGTCGGTTAAAAGACTGATACACGTTAAAGTCTATAACCTGCGATAAGTTCGGTGCTACCCCAAAGAGGAGTGACTGTCAGAGTAAGCATTAGAAATGGGTTGGTGTTAGCTGTACATGATACAGGATGAATGTAGGGATATACGGAACTTACCCGCCTATATACCTAGAGACGTATTTTGGAGACTGTATCGGATGTTGTTCTTTACGAATGTGTCGAATGAATGAGAAGAGTGCTGGGTTGAATGGTGATGGATGAAATGTATCTTATACAAGTGATACCATTGAATTTCACTTCCTTTTCCAGGTATGTTCAGGATTTACTCTATTCATACCAGATTTACCACATGGATGGATCCATGTCTCTAGATGCTGTTGCCAACTCAACAGAGGACCTCCCATCTCTGTGGTTGTAAACGAAACTGATGTTTGTTTTAGCATCTCGGAAGTTAAGCAATGGGGCAGCAATGGTCAAGGAGTACTTGAGCCAAGTACTTGTACATGGACTGGCAGAGTCATGTACGAAAATTGCCAGCAACGTGTAGGAAGCACAATAGGACGGTAGTAAGTCGCCTAGTAAGCTTACCTTGCGGTTGAAAAAGTATCACCGTGAAATAAGGCAACACGGCAGGTGTTTGCGTAAATCACTTCGATACCCACGATACGACTAACATTGTTCCGTCAACAAAATTTTCGAACATCAAAAATGTTCACCATAACGAGTGAGTTAGATTCCCGGAGTGCTATACTTTAGCTTCTACTTTGTAGGTCAAAGCTAGAGACGTATTTTGAAGACTTAAGTACGATCTCTATCAATATACCAAGACTTCGTACCTATACAGTAGGTTTGGTATGAACAGAGTTGTATATTAATCGATACAACTTCTCAACGAGTAATGATAAGGATCTAATGGGGAATTTGTAAAGTACAAGCACTGAACATTGACAGACTTTTAGTGATCGCAAAAACTTTATTATAATGAGTCATATTCCTTAAAAATATCAACTAAAACAAAATATAAAACAATCAGTATCCAAAACTAAACTACAAGATAAAACCAACAAAATAATCTGGCAAGCAAATATTTGTGAACATTCAAAAGAAT